GTGTTGAGATCCGCCCACAGTGGGCGGAGCTTGCCCTAAACCGCAGGATACTCACTTTAAAAGTTTGTAGCTCGGTTCCAGAGCACTGCAAAGACCGGAAAAACGTGCGTCAAGGGCAAAACATTGTGGGCGGGAGGCCTGCCCTCGCAAGGAGGGCGGCAGCCAGACAAAAAGTTCTGCCTAAAACGGCTTCCAAGAGCCACTCCGAAGACCGGAATCAGCAAGGGGTCGCCGATTAAGAAATGTGGGGTATACATGTTGTGGGCGGGGCCAGCCCGAGTTGGGCGGAGCCAGACAAAAATTCTCCAAAACTCTCCCAGAGCACTCCAAAGACTGGAAAAAAGTGGATTAAAGTCAGCAGGGGAGGGGGCGCCTGTGAAGAGTGCGGGGCACAAAAATTGTGGGCGGGGTCTGCTCTGAGGTGGGCGGAGTCAGTCGAAGAATCTGTAAAACAGCTCAAGAGTACATCAGACACCGGAGAAAAGTGGAGTACAGAACAAAAGGCGGACATCAGATGAGTCTAGAAATATGTGAGAGAAGGGTCGCGCGGCGAAGCCGCGCCCGCCCAGCGTAGCCAGGCCGTATCAGAAGGAGCCGCGCCGGCGTCAGCCGGCGAGGCGACTGGTAATGGTAATGGTACAAGTACTAGACTGTATGAAATCTAATGATAAAACTGCACCAATAGAAAAAGAGCTGCCTTATATCGAACCTCTAATGACGCCATAAGATTCTGGGTTGAATGATCACATAGAGGGAGATGGGAGTTTCACAAATATAGAAAAAAAAATGTGCAAGGACAATCATTTCTTTTGAGCAAAGGACTAACACAGGCAAAAGAAACAATAAACAGGATAAAGTAAACACATGCGACAATATTATAGGACAAATAACAAGGGACACTGGAACCTATCCGGTATTACAGAGTGTTCAAGAATCTCCGTAAAGAAGAAATTAACAAGCTAATTAAACTCTCCATGTTGCACGTTTCCTGCAGACAGTGAATAATGAGGCTAGGTATTTGATATTTTGTTTGGTAGCTCCTTTTTCCCGCAAAGGAAGACAAAATAGAAAGACTATACCACCCCCCCCTTCATAATATAGTCATTTTCAAGAGCAATAAGCCATTTTTGATGAAATACCCTCAAGGCAGAATCCTCGGGCGAGGCCATACTACTCACAAGGAAGATTGTTAGTCGAAACTTAGCCAATTTTTGGAAAAAAATGAAATGTCTGAAAGCTCTTTGAACGGGGATTTCGAAAGCGTCTTCCATATGTGTTGGCGAGCCTCCCAGAAGGAGTGACGGAGCGTTCTAAGGGGAGCATATTTGCAGTACGGATCAGTAACGAATTGGGGGGCATATCCCAAAACAGTGGCAGCGCTGTGCCAAAGGCGTTACGTCGTAGGATTCGCCCCTGCATGGTCGAAGGGGTATGAATCCGTGGTCCATCCGCTATTTTGCATTTTTCCGACAATGGTCTCTGCGCACCAGAAAAGAAGAAGAAGAAGAAGAAGAAATACTTGATGACCTTGACAGTGCATCTTCAAAGACTACTATCTTAACTTCTTGTTTTGTTATGGCTGTGTCTAATCTATATTTTGTTCCTTGTTCAGCAATACCTGAAACTCTCTTCTTTTATAAGATTCACATTTCCTCTTATAATGTGCCCATAATCTTCATCCACATATTCTTGTACTGTATTTGTAGTACATATACAATCGTTGTTGAATATCTGCTTCAATTTTTCATTGTCGAGATCTTTCAATACTTTGTTGTAGTTGCACACTTTGCTAGCCATGTGTTGTAGTACTTATAATTTCGACTGGAGTAAATTCACTGTCTTTCCCACTATCGCTGACACTGACAAGGGAAGAACGGTAGCTCTAAGTGGCCATTTCGAAATGGGATGTATACCGACCGAAAGGTCTTTGGACGGGGATTACGAAACCGTCTTCCATATCTGCTGCGGACCTCCCAGAAGAAGTTACGGGGCGTTTTAGGGGGAGCATATTGGTGTTCAGTACGAACTGGCGGCGTGGAGCTATCCTAAACGTGGCAGCGCGGCCAAGTGGTTACGTCGTAGGATTCGCGCATGCACGGTCAAGGGTATGAGTCCGTGGTGTCCTTTGCATTTTTTCGACAATGTTCCCTGCGCACTAGAAAACATTTTGCATAACTATTGTGCTTGATAATGCCGTGACGTAATGTTTCTGAAGGATGAGCCATAGTGGACGATTTCACGGCGAACATTTTTGGCTGTTGATTTCATCTCTTATTGCTTTTTCTACACATTTATGACCTTTGTACAAACCGGGATCCTATTACGAAATGATGGGAACAAACGTTTCTTGAAGCGAGAGCAACGGATGAAAAGAGGTCGTTACAATTTCAAATGTCACAGTTACAGTTACCCACCAAAGCCGGAGGAACTGCATACTGGAGAGGAGTTACAAACTTATGGATGCCCTTCAAGCTTCCCCGCTGCGTTCCAGGCGTAAGATAGAAAATTCCTGAAACTTAGAGCACAAAACTGAAAATAGACGAGCGAAATGCGTCTTTGACAGTATTCTTCTCTTCACAATCCACCAACAGGACGTCATGGATTACTCATGGAGAATCGAGGCAAGGCTGTCGATGACATCCTGCTCTTCCGGTTGGTGGTCGTGGTATGTCCCACGCGCCGAAGACTGCCAACTGGTGCGAAAGCAGCACTTTGGAGCGGAACATCTTTCAACACTATGTAAGTGATAAATAAATAAATGAATAAATAGTGATAGTGATGTGATCCCCAGCAAGTTTGCTACGTCGTGGGAAAGCCTATTCCGAGTGCCCTCTCTTTGCGCACAGTTTCGTGTTGTTCCGGGTTTTGGAGAATCGAGCCATTTTTCAGGCAAAGTCATGCATTGGAATGTAATCTTTTTGTGCAAAAAAGCTCATAAAAGCATAAAAGATGAAATCAACAGCCAAAAATGTTCTCCATGAAATCGTCCACTATGGCTGCATTCTTCAGAAACATTACGTCACGGCATTATCAAGCACATTGGGTGAAAATGTTTTCTAGTGTGCAGAGAACACTGTCGAAAAAATAGAAGAGCATATGCACCAAGGGTCCAAATCCTTGATCATGCATACGCAAGACCTACGACGTAACCACTCGGCCACACTGCCACGTTTGGGAGAGCCCCACGCCGCTATTTCGTATTGAGAGTATGCTCCCCTGTAAAAGCTCCGTAACTTCTTTCTGGGAGGTCCGCAGCAGATATGGAAGACGGTTTCGTAATCCCCGTCCGAAGACCTTTCAGTCGGTATACATCCCATTTCAAATGGCCACTTAGAGTTACCGTTCTTCCCTTGCCAGCGATAGTGGGAGAGACAGTTAATTCACTCCAATCGAAGTTATTTGTAAGTCCAACAACACACTGATTAGCAAACTGTGCAAACACATCAATGTATCGAAAGATCTCGACACTGAAAAATTGAAACAGATACTCAACAACGATTGTATATGTACTGCAAATACAGTACAGAATATGTGGATGAAGATTATGGGCATATTATAAGATGAAATGTGAATCTTGCAAAAGAAGAGTTTCAGGTATTTGCTGAACAAGGAACAAATATAGATTAGACACAGCCATAACAAAACAAGAAGTTAAGATAGTAGTCTTTGAAGATGCACTATCAAGGTCATCAAGTATTTCTTCTTCTTCTTCTTCTTCTTTTCTGGTGCGCAGAGACCACTGTCGGAAAAATGCAAAATAGCGGATGGACCACGGATTCATACCCTTGACCATGCAAGGCGAATCCTACGACGTAACCCTTTGGCCGCGCTGCCACGTTTGGGATAGCCCCAATTCGTACTGATCCGTACTGCAAATATGCTCCCCTTAGAACGCTCCGTCACTCCCTCTGGGAGGTCCCACCTCGCGTCTCCCCCAGGAACCTCACTGTGCACACTGTAGGATGACCTCTGCTGCGTAGGTCCAGGTGTCCTGGACTGGCCCATGTGGGTCTGGGAGCCCAGCCTCCAGTATTCTTCGGCCGGCTTACCGGGAAGTCTCGGGAGGTTGGCAACCTCACGAGACTTCCAGGTAAGCGACCCCACGTTCAGGGTCCCAATTCGAACTAGCTTCTTTGGCCGAGGTCGTTCACCCCTCGGTAGCCCTCGCATACTGACCACAGAACTCGGGCGAGGGTTCTGCGCGCCACTTCCGGGTGACGTCCTAGCTTTAACACTGATACTTTTGCGACTTGTCATGATTGTTGTGACGGGTTCCTCCATCAGCCGGCCTGTCAACCTGGGCCTGACGCTGGTATCGTCCCCATTTTTGCAATTTTTGCAAGGCAGGTTTGTGCCTCGGCAGGGATCGAACTCGTGGCTCAGGTGAGAACATGAGTCTACACTCTTAACCTTTCGGCTATTCCTGCCTCAATACAAAGCTGGCAATCATAACGTTAATCTATTACAGAAACATTTTCGTTCATGTTACCATGACAAAGTAAAACCTTACTGACAAAGGCTAATATTGAAAGTATAGGAGAACACATACCTTACAAGGTAAGCGAACAATATAAGGACAAATACCTTCTTTGCCCCCCCCCCCTTGACAAGGCAAATAACGACTATGGCATTATCTGCAAAAAGTTCTACCATATGAACATAATGTAAGAAATGGCCATTACTTATGATGCTACCAGTGCACATTTGATGGAAAGCAATAACACATATAAACTAATGCCTCAAAAAAAACAGTAATCTTTAGTGATGAGGCACTAATTCCTTTGTGTAAAGAATAATATTATTAGGTTGGCTACTAAGTAATTGAGGATTTCACTCATAGATGGTTTCAGTTGAACTTTTAGGTTTGCTGACGTAGAGCAAGTGTAAAACTTATTTTGTTATTAGACAGTTGGCAATTCAGCTATCAATCGGTATAAAAAGTTTTTTGATTGGTTGCATAGTTTTTGTTTGGCGTTCGTTGGAAAACAACACACAAAACAATGGAACATCAAAAGGAACATTTTCGTCATATTTTACTTTTTTATTTCCGCAAAGGGAAAAACGCATCGCAAGCTCACAAAAAGTTATGTGCTGTTTATGGTGACGAAGCCTTAAAAGAACGGCAGTGTCAAAATTGGTTTGCCAAATTTCGTTCTGGTGATTTTTCACTCAAAGATGAAGAACGCTCTGGTCGTCCAGTTGAAGTTGATGACGACCTTATCAAAGCAATAATCGATTCGGATCGTCACAGTACAACACGTGAGATCGCAGAGAAGCTCCATGTATCACATACATGCATTGAAAATCACTTAAAACAGCTTGGCTATGTTCAAAAACTTGATACATGGGTTCCTCATGAACTGAAAGAAACGCATTTAACGCAACGCATTAACAACTGCGATTTGCTTAAGAAACGTAACGAAAATGATCCATTTTTAAAACGACTGATAACTGGCGATGAAAAATGGGTTGTTTACAACAATATCAAGCGGAAAAGATCGTGGAGCAAGCCAGGTGAACCAGCTCAAACAACATCAAAAGCTGATATTCATCAAAAGAAGGTTTTGTTATCAGTTTGGTGGGATTACAAAGGAATTGTCTACTTTGAACTCTTACCACCCAACCGAACGATCAATTCTGATGTCTACATTGAACAACTAACGAAATTAAACAATGCTGTTGAAGAAAAGCGGCCCGAATTGACAAATCGAAAAGGTGTGGTATTCCATCATGATAATGCAAGGCCACACACATCTTTGGCCACTCGGCAAAAATTATTGGAGCTTGGTTGGGATGTTTTGCCACATCCACCATATAGTCCTGACCTTGCACCATCAGATTACTTTTGTTTCGCTCTTTACAAAACTCCTTGAATGGTAAAAATTTCAATAATGATGATGATGTCAAATCGCACCTGATTCAGTTTTTTGCTAATAAAAACCAGAAGTTTTATGAACGTGGGATTATGATGCTGCCTGAAAGATGGCAAAAGGTCATTGATAAAAATGGGCAATACATTACAGAATAAAATTATTTCGTTCCATGAAAAAATTGTCATTGATATTCTAAAAAAAATCCGCAATTCTTAGTTGCCAACCTAATAGTATATCTTGCCATGCGAACACCTACTATATATGCACTACAAAGCTACATGAAAATCTAATAAAATTCAGACACATCACAAGTGCTCATAGCAACAGTGTTAAGTTTTTCGCCCGCTAATTATGCTTAAAAGTGCACAATCGCAACAAGAAAATTGAGACATATTGGCCTATCAGTAACATTAATATAAGTCAAGAACTACACAACATCCCATTCGACAATCTCAAAATTTACACTGCGGATTTCACGGACATGTTCACAAATTTAGAACATGACCTCATTATGAGAAAAGCAAGAGCTTCTTAGCACTTGCTTCAACAATGCCATCGGATCCTTCATTGTTAGTAACGGTCACCATGTTTCTATGCAGATGGAAAAGAAATTAAGAGTAACTACAGTACTCTCTGACAGGGAGTACTGATATGCAAAGTCATAAAACATTAGTGCCAGAAAAACGTCCTCTGTCTGGGGAGCGAAAGCTTTGCTGATCTGTGACTCGGTCGAAATATCTTTTTTTTGCCCCCCCCCTCCCTGTATACTGGCGACGAACTTGAGCACTTTCCTTTTTGTCCAAGTGATGCACTACTAGATGACTTGGGTAGTGATAAGATGAATTCGTCATCTCTGGTGTTCCATTTAATTCCAAGAGCTTTGGAAATTTTATTGACTTTGTTGAATCCCTGGTCATTGCTAGCGAACTCTCGAACATTCATACCTGCATCGGTGGAAAATCTTCTTTGTTTCTTCATAGATATGTTCAGCGTCCTCTGAGGAAGAAGCTTCCAGGAAGAGATTGTCCACATAAATGTTGCGTATGATCTTCTGAGCAAGTGGTGAAGAGTAGTTGCTAAGATGGTAATGAATCGTACCTGCGAGGAGAAAACGGCGAAGAGATCGAATCAAGAGAAACTCGCTTGAAAAAGTAAGTGACAAGGTTCCCTTGTCGAATTCTTGCAGACGGATTTCTAAGCCACAGAAATCGAGTAGAGTTTCTGCTCGCTTTGTTGAGTCCAACCATCAAAAGCTTTTTCTATGTCGACAGTAATAAGGATCTTAATGAAGCGGATGCGAAGAAGAATACCGAGGAGCACTGGTCCTTTGTAAAGTACATCGTTTAGACTTCGCTTGCCTTTCGTTTTGGCCGATCCATCGTAGACGCATCGAAGTTTTGTGTTCTTGCTATTTTCTGACACGACTCCATGGTGTGGAAGGTAATGGCACGACGTTTGATCCTCGTTATCGTCAATTTCTTCGATGATTCCTTTTTCAGTTGCTCTGTAATTATGTGATGATATTTCTGAAGCAAACCTGGTTGTCGTTCCAACACTTTCAAAGTGCTCTTGAGGCGAGAAATGGCAAGGTCGAAGTTATCCGATAACTCAGAAATATCGTCCTTGAAGGGCAGCTGGACCATGTAACGGCCTTCGTCCACATCGAAGTAAATCGTGTTGTTGAATTCTTTGAGGTCATCGGACTGGGTAGCGTCTTCGGATATCCCGGCTGATTCGAGATACCTAGGATTCGTTCCACTAGTTCCTCTAACTTTTGGTGTTGAACAGGGTTGTCGAGAGCTTCACTGGTGATGGCAGTCATGCAGATGTTACGGCTCTGAGGAGGCTTCTCCGGTGACAACATTCCCTAGTCGAGTATGAATGAGTTTGTAGCCATTGGGTAGTTATCTCATGAAGAAGTTACTGTAGATCAAGCCTTACTTGACGTGCTTAAGAAGGCGCGACCATTCCTTCAACATCCAGAGCTGCATGTATCGGAAGGGGTCACTGAATGATGCTACGCGGTACGATCGCGCTTGATCAAGGGTGGCTTGCACCTACGTGCAAGAAACTTTAATTAGGTGCCAAAACTTGGTGTGTAGCTGCGACTTTGACCTCATTAACGAGGGATGGCTTAGAAGTCATCTTGTTTCCCCATATTTTCATTAAAGTGTAGAAAGATTATAAGGCAGGGAAAGCACCAGGTCAAGTGTAAATTTTCAAGAAAAAAAAAGCGCGCTTGGAAGAAAATACCAGCACTGTACGTCTAGTATGCACCAACTGCAATCAGTAACAAGAAATGTTTGTTTGCAACCTCCCCCGTTCAGAATTTTTGTATCCGAAAGCTGCAAAACAACGTCTGAAAGTCTGGAATTGAGATCTACACGAAAATTAAGGGGGAGTTAGCCCACTAAACCGATACACATATTGAATTTCAACAAACGCTTTACAACATCAAATTAAAATGTGTAATGTCTACTGTAGGAGGTGGTGTAGTGACAAGTGGCGCGCTTACCACTCGCGCGGTCCTGGGTTCGAATCCCGGGTCGACTCCCGCCCAGGCCAACCAAGCCTTCTACCCTCCGGGGACGGTAAATTGGTACCAGATTCGTCTGGGAGGATAAAACACTGACTTGTACATCGGCTGGCCACCGCAAGTCATTGTATAGGCCACATCGCATTCAATAAGCCACTACGATTCTGAATGGAAGTAGAATGCGTGCCGCATCCCACAAAGGGATTGATTGACGGCGGAGACTTTATCCTTTGAAGACAGCTGCCGCGATGAAAGTGTTATGGATAGTTGCTTTTCAACAGGAGCTGATAAGTAATTCCCCAAAGAAGAGAAAAAGCAAAAGAGTCTCAAGAACACCAACAAAATCGCTCCCTCACAGTCACACCTCCCTGCGGTCTCTGTGCAACCCCTGGCTCACAAATCCTTTATCACATCTCCCAGTAGTGGATATCATCCAATGCAAAAAAAGAATACGAAAAACAACAAAAACACGGAAGAAAAACTCTTGAAAAGGAAAAGAAACTTTAAAAACTCGGCGTCCGAATTTAGGGTTACGGTAGCGTGCATCTTTTAGTGTAGAGTAGTGCGTCGAGCTTTTGCACCACGAAAATCGGGTCGCTCGTGATTTTCACGCCTTTTACCTTGCGAGATGGGTTGGAGTTGACTGTATGTGCTCCCAATTAATAAAATGTAATGAAGGAGAGCAGAATTCATTCATGGGCACGAGCGCGGTCAGCAAAAAGGACATGCAATTCCGATTAATGCCCGCCGCCCCAACAAAGAACAACTGAGCGGCCCTCCGTCGGAGGGCATCTAGCAAGTAAGGCGGTCCAACTGAGCGGGCGTTAGAACTAGAACTTTCAGCGGCTGTAGCTCGCTCCTCGCTCGCTGTGGAGTCGAATAGAGTGGGACAGTCTCTAGCTTGGGGGCTGTACTACTTGCACAAGGAAGGACGACCATGTACTACTTGAACGTGGAGGCTGTCTTTAATGTCCACTGTCCGCCGTTACACCTGCATCTTGTTGTAATGCTCCTGTCCTACTTCCGGCGAACTGGTTAAGTAGTAATCTTCACTTTCCTCCTAGATGATATCGTCTTATTATCTGCATGGACTCGGCCTCTTGTTGAACTGAATACCTCGAAGAAAGGTCATTTACAGGTAGTAGTGCTAAAAGGTAAGCTGTACTTGCCATCACTGCTTTACGCTACTGTTCAGCCTAGCATGTCTTCTGCTGAGTCCTTCTCCTATCTAGACGTCATTATTTCCCCTTCACTGTTCCTGGTGTGTTCCCGCCTTCACCATCATATATATCCCCACCGTATTTATTTCCTTCTGTTCCAACCCTTCGTACAGCGTTGATCAATTTCTATCCCATAGTATCTCCATGCCCCAACACCGCCAAAGAACGTGAATCAGGCTATGCCCCACGGCTTCAGACTGCCAGTTACGTTGATTAGACCGCAGCTCTTATTAGCCGCTCTGCATCAGCACCATAGTATACATTAATAATGATCCCATCTTTCAGCCCTTTTCCAGATGTCCGTCAGCAGACTTCGCACAGCGATTCGAAGGATAGCGACATATAGGCAAACAACATCTTAGAACGGAGTAGAATTTTACTGCAGAAGAACGTCACTTTACGTGACCAGCAATATATAACAACATTAGTGCTTCGTTTTTGCTTTTTACTGTATTTTGAAAGAGTATTTCAATAGACAGTTTGACAATCCTGTTTTTTTTCGATGTGAAGGTGTAATGATAAAAAGATGACCTCTAAGCTCTCGCTCGTTAATGGGGTCACTCACAGCTGGGCAGCGATCGTACCAATATTCTGCCACCCTATCGGAAGCGGTCGGATGTTGAAGTGGATAGCGTGAAGGATTCTCGCTGGGACACTGATGATTGAGTTAGTGGTTGATTTCTCCACAGGCAGCGATTTTTAGCATTCTCATTTTTCGCTATTCTCGAGTCCATAAATGTTTGGGCAACATGACTCGGACATTTACCATTTATGTGCACATTCTAGATTGTGATACCCACGAGTCGGCGCTATTCAACTATTACATTTTTCTCATACCATCGAGCAAACAGGAAATTGATCTCTATGCGTTAAGCTGTGCACTTGGCACGAATATGGCAATTACTTCGAGCTGTGGTGACATTTCTTGGCCGTCTGGAGCTGAGCCTTTTTTCCACTTTACATGCATGCGAAACGTTGAGCACTATCCCTACGGAATTACGTCGACGCCAAAAATAAGTGTCAGAATCGTGATCAGGACTAACGATCACCTCTGGAGACAATTTTCGGTCAAAAAAAATTTTTTGACCTTCTTTGATTCGTCTACTGGGCTGCACCCGAGAGTTTTCCTATTAAAGTCGTTCTTTGCCTCTAACTTAACTTTTCCATTTGTTGATCCACAAATTTGAAACTAACAGCAATGATAAGCGTCATGGAAAAAAAGAAGAAAAAGGGTAATTATTCTAGGTGCACGTAAAAAAGTCTAAGGATGAACAAGCATTTTTTGGGTAGGGAAGAACGACTTTGTTGCGCTGTCGGCAGAGATCGGCAAAGCTCCAGGATGCCTTTTCACGATTCCTGTGGCCACCCAGGCTTAAACCAAGCATGAAAGACCTTGGGCGCGCCTAAATGGCAATGCGGCTGCCCGGCGGCCTACTGCGTCATCGTAACGTCATCGCCGCTACGAAGATGTGAGACTCCGGTGATCATCGCGAACCAAATAATCTACCACAGTCCGAAAAGTCAGAAAATTTTCTGCCAACTGTTCAAATACAAAGGGTAATTGGTGGTCTTGAATACTATTTTGGCACTCATTTTTTTCATTCTCAGCAAATTGACGCGAGGATAGCGCCGAACGTCCCTTGTGTGACCATCCATTCCCTGGGACAAAGTGGCTCTAAATTGGCGATAAATGACATAGCTCGAAATAAGTGCCATATTCGCCATAAGGACACTGATTGAGGTATAAAGACTAACACTCAGCAAGACCCTAATTGATGATATGTGAAAATTGTAACTATTGAATAGCACCGACTCCTGGGGTATCAGTATTTAGAATGTGTTCACAAATGGTGATTATCCAAGGTATATTAATGCAGGGACATATACGGATGAGAAAACAAAACAGAAAACAAACAGAACAGAAAATAGCAAAACCTGAAAAATGCAAAAATTTGCCGTCTACGGGGAAGTGAACCGCAACCCCATGCTAGACGGTATTGAAAACGTTCAGAGAGCAGAGGTGAAAAATGCAAAAGAGCTTGTCCATCAAGTGTCTGAACCTTTGACCTTGCATTCGAGCCCAACCAGCTATCCACTAGGCTATCGCGGCAGAGTCACTTTAGCCTCCCGACTAGTTCGCATACTGACCTTAATTGTGCTCCGTACAAAAACCTGCCTAACTCTGCTCAGAGGATCATTTAGCAGATATGGAAAGCAAATTTGAAAGTAGCGTCTGAATACGCATAAGTGGGTATACAGGGGGGAGGAGGGAAAAATAAAGTGAAGTTAAGTTAATAAAGTGTAACTTATAGCCCTCGAAAGTCAAGGAAGAAAAGTGTCTTTTTTTATGCCCCCCCCCTGTATATGACCCACTTGTATGAATAACGCATCAATCCTCATCTCCAAAGCATTCGTCCAGAAGCTCTAGAAAGCTAAACTATTTTTAACACTTTTTATAGCGGAAGGTCCGGAAGAATGGGAATTAATCATCGCTCAGTGGTGCATCCAAAATATCCGTTTATCAAGGAGATTTGCTTCCGGCTTCTCACCAGACCACGTATTCGACCTTCACGTCTTCACTGATGCATCCAAGATAGCATATTGCGCAGTCGCGTACTTGGTGAGTAAAGACAACAATGGAAATATCGAAGTTTCCTTCTTGATAGCAAAATCGCGTCTCTCACCTCTTCGTTCTGCTCCAACAATACCTCGACTAGAGCTATCAGCGATCACCATCGGCGCAAAATTGACGAAGTTTCTACACTCCCATCTTGATGTTCATCTTCAAAACAGCTACATTTGGTCAGGCAGTAAAGTAGCGCTGACGTGGACAAAGTGCGAGAAAGCGCTACAGTATGCATCAACAACCGCGTGAAAAGCATCAAGGCTGACGCTCCGTCATCAGTCCTACGATACCTGCCTGGATAGAAAAATCCAGCTGACATTTGAAGTAGAGGAACAGAAAATCAGCTCTCATTGTGGTTCGAAAGACTCCCATTTTAGTGATTCCAGGGAGCAACGGCCAGATGACACCAGTCAATAGTCCGTTGACGAAGAGACAGTAAAATATCCTATGTCTTCAGTAATATCGACTGCGCGAGAAAGTCTATTTCAAGAAACATGATCCAGTTCATAGAAAGGCTTCCTCACACCATAGTAATAGTTCTACTCTTCATCGCGAGAAAATATCCGAAAGTCGAACTCTACTTCACAACAAAGAAAGAGAAATTGATTCGCAGTCGCTGAACGCATCATCTGCCGGCAAGCGCAAATGACTAACCCTCCGAGTGACGCCATTAGAAAACAACTGAATCTGTACATGTGTGAACGTACCAGCTTATGGAAATCAAGAGGACTAATCAAAATGCGAGTATACATCAGCATACCATTGAATGGATCTTCCTTCCGAAAGAGAGTAATATCACAAATACTAACATCGGTCGTCCACGTCCGTCGCATGCGCCACCTCTGCGGAGTCGAAAAAATATTGGAAAGGCAAAAGCAAAACCGTTCTCGCCACCAGACTTCCCGCATATCCAACAGAGAGAGTGACGAACCGCAGTACTCGCATTCGAGAGAACGGGACTGGACCTACATGCGCCTTCAACTAATACCTAAACAACATTCCTGGCTTCCCATTACTGGATCATCGCCTATCACGGTGTGTTGAATACCAGAGCGATTTTCATGTGATAACTCGTGGCCAGTCTGTGAGTGCGCGTTGCTTTCTTCACGCTTAATACATCGGTTCAATCCGCGCGATCAACACTTTTCTTCCACCGGCCGTGGATAGTGTGCGACAGCGCCAAAATTTTCAAGACACTCAACGAAGTTCAGTGCGCTCAAGACGAAAGTAAGCGATACCACCATCGCAGATTACTGCGCTAATCACAAAATCCAGTTGAAATTCATAGCAACTCACAGCCCATGACAAGGGCAGTATATGAAAGAACGGTTGCTATTTTCAAATCATCATATCAAGAGCAGTTGGAAACGAACTCTAACGACAATAGAAACTTCTGAAAACTGTCGTGGCAGAATGCGGAGCCGTCAGTAACTCCTGTCCATTAACCTACGTAAGCGACGAACAATCACACTTCCTTCTCAGACGAATCGACTTCTTGCGACCCATAGCAGTGATCGCTACTTCTCAAATTGGAAACTTGGAAGAACTCGGACCACGAACGATCGTTCAAGGAGACCTCATCGAAATGTGAAAGTCGACGAACGAAAAACTAAACCTCTTTTAGAACGATGGCAGTCGGAGTACTAATGAGCCTCAGAGCACTCCCACAAGCACCCACGCCTAGAAAATAGGACTCAACTCCCAAAACTTCACGATCATGTCAACATTCAGGACGAAAAATGAGGGAGGTCAATGGAGAATGTGGCCAAATAATCAGGATCGCAACGATGTCAGGTCCAGTACAGGTCAGATCCTCTAGCAAATAAGCGAGGCAATCACTCAGACGCTCTGAACAATTGAAACAGCCCGTTCGAAGTTCAATCTGGTGAAAACAGAGTCTATCTTGCGGCAAGAGCATTAGGGGATATCCGCAAGACAAAAAAGAACGATCGTTCTACTCATTTCATGCTGACTAGATCAAAAGCGAAACTCAGCTCTTCGCTCACTATTGTAACTATCATCTTCACGGCACTCCTATCTCCATGTAGCGCGTCAGATGTCGTAACAAGCACCAGGTGTCCCAGAACAGTATCAGTAGCCACGAGAATCATCTATGGCGAATCATCTATGGCGTGGAAAAAGGTGTCGCAGTTGCAGCCATATGGAGAACGTCAACAATCAACAACGCTTGTGTTGGTTTCCTATCCAGTATCCATTAGGACACATTCATATACCAATTCCCTTGCCTCCAAACTCCGGATATTGCGAAAACAAATGTTTTTGCCCAAAATGGGCAAGAACTTGCTCATCCTACAGTGGACAACATAAGGAAGCATCACAAGCCAACAAAGTTCCTTCATCGATCTTCTACAAACCGCCACATGTATGTTCGTTTTACAAATCATCAATGCGCTCGAGTTCTAAAAAAGTGGAAATTTTTTATCACGTTGAACTCTATGATGGCACTATAACAATTGTACCGGAAATAGGTATCATGGCAAGGCAATTTTTCAATAAGGAGGATTACTACTGCTTCTGCTACGATGAAAAATTGGTACCTAATCTAATTTCGGTCAAAACATCGAAATCCGGCTCGCCTGCATTCTGTAGATATCACACATGCTTAAAACCAACAACAACAGCTGGATCAGTCTTCTGCACCTACTACACACCCATAACAGCGCTTGACAACATGAACTCATCGATCGGGCTCGGGGAACAGCACCGGAAAAATATTTCCCTCATAAGAAAGATACTGAAAGTTCGAGAGGCAGTACTCGATCCCAAGGTGTCATCGAGCAGGATTAATGCTGAGACGACCAACACTTGGGATGTACTGGAAAGCTGTAGCGCATCAACATGTATTTTTGTAGACAGCTATCATCCAACACGCCGATATTGATTTCGGAGCGATCAATGTAAGTAGCTGATGTTCGTACAGCAGAAGCTGTTCATTAAAGGCAGTTGGCACGATGTTTCCTACTTAGCCTAAAATGCTAGTAGGGCGCTATATAGTGGGGAAATGGCGAAAGAACGGAGTGAAACGGTCAAAATCCTGCGAAGAAAAAGCCTCCGTTCTCAGTGACTTGAAAATCGATTTCGGACGAGTTTCCCGTAGGTATCTTACCAATCACCGCTACCGAAGATGCGGTTGCATATGTGTACCCATGTATGCATGCTGCACCACGGCCGCTTCATACCGATCCCTTCGCTTCATAATTTGCTTAGCAAATGAATGAATACGAGCGAACGGCCGTTCATGTCAATACGAGCGAACGGTCGTCCATTTGTGGGCGGGCGGGCGTGGCGGGCGTTTGGGACGTAAAGTTGTGGCTTGATAGGGCCCTTATAAGGGCACCTTCCTCGGGGAAACCGCTATGCAGCGCCTGCCCAGGGTCGCGGAATTCTATCCTGCCAGGAGTATTGATCCTAGTCGTCTTGGGGGATTTATCGTGCCAACTGCCTTTAATGGATGGATCAACGGTCAAAGAATACTTTCCTCGACATTAACGTACCCTGGAACAACCACTCTGCGAAACGCTCAAGTGCAAACTATGCTGGGAGAAGATATACAATTTCCAATGCTGGACAGCTAATGAAATAGCAACCTCGTTGATTTTCCTCATTGAAATGATCCTCCTTCTCCACATATTTATTCATACCACTCTTCACATTACTCTACAGGAATGGAAGAAAATTGTTGTATCTGCCCCCTGTCACCGTGAAAACGACCGTTACCATATACAAGATTTACCGGAAAAAACCAGAGCTACCGAATCGAAAGATCATCCCTTCAACAATGACAGCGAAGAAGAAGACCGATATAGTAACACACCAAGGAGAAACATCATACTGCACAATCACCGAAAACGAAGAGAAATGCATATACGGACAAACTACCCAGCTGCTCCTTCAACCGATCGGACAAGAAGCTTGTCTCCTACTCAAAAACAAGGAAAACCGAATCATGGCAACAGTTTCCATCCGACTGAAACAAATCTCTCACATCTGTAAACAGAAAACCGAATATTTCACAAGAGATTACGAGTTCTTCACGGAATCCCGACATCAGTGCTATAACACTGAAAGCTGCAGAGGTAACACCTGCGCGTCACTCAAACCGGAGATGAAACTACACGACTTCAGTATGATTGCAAAGGCAAATCCGGATACACATACTGTGTACCAAGCTGTGGATGCTTTTGGTGCGACTGGTGCTTCCACTGCACACCAACATGCCTCTTCTATAGGCTACTAACACAGTACCTACATCATCCACAATATACAGGGTCTTTTCATGCCCCACATGGAGCATTCAAGCAGAGGGAACACGGTAAGAACGGAAGGCTCTACTACACTCAACACTTGACTCTCCAGCCAGGAATTCACATGGAATAACCTTCGACCAACCTTTGCAAGTACCATTGTGCCGAATCTTCCGATTCTATCAAGCTATTTCATAACGGACGGCAACATCGTGACGCGAATCGAACCATCTCAGCAAGGACAACTTCTACCAAACTCCGCCGGTCAGTTACAATGTAAAACAGAAGAAGAAGCAAAGTCTTTTGGGAGCTGCATTTTCGCACAATATGCATGTTCCTGTAACCCAAGAAAATACGCGGTCACATGCTCCTGTCCAAATGGGACAACGTCGTCATTTCTGCACAATAAACATAATAAGCTTCCAGTAATTACAGGTCAAGCAGCACTGATAAATGAGCGGCAAACCATTAAGGCAAAAACAACAATCGACTCTGCGCTCACAATTCAGATATCAACGAACGAACTAGTCATTGCTGCTAGCATCAACAACAATTCATGTCAAGTACATATGGAGGAGCTGACAGGATGCTATTCCTGCACACAGGGAGCGATTGCTAATGTCTCGTGCACGTCATCAGTAAGTGAAGAAACGGCACACTGATAGTCGAGTTTCTAATGAGTTTCAAATTCTATTCCTCGCATATTCTTTGTATATACCATTTTCACTTTAAATTCACCACTTTTCAAACCAAATTCACCACTTTTCAAACCAAATTCACCACTTTTCAAACCAAATTCACCACTTTTCAAACCAAATTCACCACTTTTCAAATCAAATTCACCACTCTTTTTAGACCGGGCAGTTCACCAACCAGATCACGCCAGACACCACTGCGAGCCCCGCCCCGACGGTCACGCCTACTTGTCAGCGCGGACATAGATTTTCAACACATCGACACATGGCCGACTCCGCCCATTCTTCAAAGGGTTTGTTGCGAACTTCGAAATTTCATAACTTTTCAACTTTTTAATTTCACATCCACTCTTTGCACAGCGAAGATACTCGTACCCGCGCATTTATGCACTGGCAGTACAGGAGGGGCCGCCCTCTTGGCCACGCCCACTTGCTTTTTGCGGAATTTTGATATTTTTTCAAAATTTTTGCATTTTTGGACTGCTGCGTGAAGCCCCGCCCACTGTGAGAGGCTCCGCCCACTTTTCAAAAATGGTGCAAATCGGCAGTATAGAGTCTTGGCTTGCATGCTAGGGTCTCGTCCGTCACTCGGAACAAACTTTGCCTGATTTATTTGTTCCGAGTGACGGACGAGACCCTAGCATGCAAGCCAAGCTCTATACTGCCGATTTGCACCATTTTTGAATGGGCGAGGCTTCTTCGAAGTGGGCGGAGCCTCTCACAGTGGGCGGGGCTTCACGTAGCAGCCCAAAAATGCAAAAATTTTAAAAAATATCAAAATTCCGCAAAAAGCAAGTGGGCGTGGCCAAGGGGCGGAGCCTAAATTGCCAGTGCATAAATGCGCGGGTACGAGTATCTTCGTTGTGCAAAGTGGATGTGAAATTAAAAAGTTGAAAAAGTTATGAAATTTCGAAGTTCGCAACAAACCCTTTGAAGAATGGGCGGAGTCGGCCATGTGTAGATGTGTTGAAAATCTATGTCCGCGCTGACAAGTAGGCATGACCTCGCAGTGGTTTCTGGCGTGATCTGGTTGATGAATTGCCCGGACTGGTAAGTGTGGTGAATTTGATTGAAAAGTGGTGAATTTGGTTTGAAAAGTGGTGAATTCAAAGTGAAAATGGTATATACATACATTTAATTATAAGTTCGGGTTGCAAGACTGCGTACAGTACCCCCAAAAATTGCGCGTGGGTGCGCAGAACGGGTTGCGGGACCACGCGGACCATTTGTTTTTTCGGGTACAGTAACTTACAAGGAAAGGATGGTTGGTCGAAGTGGCCATTTAAGACAAGATGTATACTCACTGATGCGTCTTCGGACGCTGATTTCAAATCTGCTTTCCATATCTGCTGAACGATTCTTTGAGCAGAGATATGCAGGAGGTTGTTGTACGGAGCACAGTAGAGCTTGGTATACAAATAAGACGTGAGTCGCCACACGGTGTGCCTCGGTAGCCTAGTGGGTAGTATGCCGGACTCAAGTATACGAGGTCAGAGGTTCGAGTCCTTGATGGACGTGCTCTTTTGCATTGTTTCAGCAGTGCTCTCTGGAAGTTTTTAACACAGCCTAGCATGATCAGGAACCTTGTCATGAATAGGGCTTTTCTTGGAAAACTGAACCATTCTCGCCTGTGAACACTTCTAATGATTTATTTTGCTCATATAGTGGGTACAAACAAGTTTTGTGATTCAAGAACAAATGTGATAATCCAGAACAAAGTGTTGGAAGCAAAAAAGTTTCTCGCAATGGGAACACCGGATAAAAAAATTTCCTTGCACTCTGCTGTGTTACAGGGTTCTATGACATTTGGAGGGAATGCATATTGAATAGGCGTTTCAAATTCAAAAGGGTTCGGGTCCTTCCTGGAGTTGTGGTTTTGCATTTTCTCAAAAATGCTCCCTGCACATCCTGAAAGC